ATAAATCAACAATTACTTATTGCTTAATATTTGGGATTATAGAATCTTTAGTTTATCAGTACCTTATGGCCTTCCACTCTGCATTCTATTTACAATTCCATTACAATACATTCTTTCTGGATCAATAAATTATTTCTTTTTAAAGAAAAGAAAGAAAAAAAGGGTACATTTCAATTGTGAAAGGGGGAAAAGGGATAACCAAACATATTTGACATATATCTTAAAATAAAATGATGACTTTCTTTTTTCTTTCAGACACCTAAATATAAATAATAAGGAACATTGTGTTATTTACACTTATATTGGATATATAACTCATAAAGATAATAAATGATGGTGATGGAACATCCAAGTATGTACAAGATGTATTTACAAAAATAATATATACTTAAAATGATATGTGGCCATTGCATTTCCTGCATTTCTCTGCAGCATTTCAGATTGGTTGAGCATCAGTCATTGTGGCTATTAAAAATTCAGTCAAAAACAGACTCTGCTTGTGTCGCTTATTAAAGATGTGCAATTTAGCCATACATCAACACATCTTGCTGAATATTCAAGTAACCACTTACTTTGATATCAACCATGGGAAAATATGGGCATGACAATACTTCAACCTTAAAAAAAAAAGAACTATACATTATTAGTTGTCCATTAGCCACTAATAGTTGCTAACATGGCTTGAAAGAAACAGATTTTTGGCTGATGAAAATGTATAGGTGCAGAGATCCCGGATACCCTGTTATATGTACACTGCATCCGATGTAGAAGTCTAATTGGTGTATTTTCTTAAGATGCCAAACTATTTATCATGAAATGTCTGAACTGAAGTTGAGCATCAGTTACATTCATAAGAGCAATTCTTTATTCTGACTGCTGTTTCACTTGACATAACTTTTTTTTTCCAAATTAAAGATTAAATAGAAATGAGTAGAAATACCACGCTCAATACATTTATGAAATAACGTTTGAATGCATAAAATAAAATTGCCCTGAGAATTGAAATTGCCTTTCAATCGTATGTGGTTTTCTTACCACATTAGATATTTCTACATGATGTTTTGTTTTATGAAATGGGAGTCATTGAGAGGAATGGCTTGTAATCCATTCTTGCTTATAACCCGTAGCTATTCTTCACACCACTATTGAAGTTAACACTTATATCTTTCATGGATGTAGCACTGATTTATAACCATAAATGCAGTCCACAGCTTAATTATCTAGATGGAATGTTCTTATTGTCCAAAACCAACTCTATCACAATTCATTCAATTGTGCATCACAAAATGATGAGAAAACAAGCAATATTCATGCACAAACTAATCTGGACACATCAATTAACAGAGTAAGATATTAAGCTAACTGGCACAGTAGTGTTACCTATTACAACAGGGCATGCATATTTTCATTATGGACTGAAGGTTGCATTGGCCAGTTCAAGTTACCCTACCTGAAGTCTGAAGGGACCCAGCATAAAATTAAAGAATTAGGAGCAGAGCAAAAATTCAAGTTGATTTAATTTAAATTTAAGTTTAGCTGAATGAATTTAAATGCAGTTACATGATTACTCCTCATTAATTTAATTGCATTTCTTTTCTGGTAGAATTATAATTGGTTTAGAGCCATTTTTCAATGTACGTGCAATTCTTCTCAGTGCATCTTCCTGAAAGCCATATTGCATTGATTTAAACTCTCTCCCTTGCCCACATTAGTTGTTTACCCATGTTTTAAAAGGCAGTATTATAATCAAAGTAACTACCCTTGCTTATGAAGTCACCAGGAGTTGAGTTCCACTCAAAGGAAATATCTAGTAGGGAATCAATGCCAGGACAACAAGCTCAAATGCAAGAAGAGTCTAGTAGTGCTTCCCCCATCCACTAGTCCAAAGTGAGATTCAGCAGCAAGGCAAGGCAATCAAAATGCATGAATTTCTCTCCCCAGGTTCTTCTGGGGATCCCACCTTCAATACTGCAAGAAAAGTTTTGGGAATGATGAAGTGCACCCAAAATGGAGGGAGATCAAGTTTATGCACCAATTTAGTATTGGTAAGCACAGAAAGGAGAACATGTGACAGCCTCGCATAGGTGTGTTTTTAGTTTCAGAAGAATGAATGGAAAGACAGTTAAAGGTTATAGGGACATTATTGTAATGGAAGCATTGTCTGCCCTGGCAGGAATACAATGCATTAATGTATTTAAAAGAAAGGAATGTGTGCAGAAGACTATTGGAACAACATGATAAAACTGATGAAATGTTTAGTTTCTGAAATGCTTTTTAATCTATATCATATGCTATAGAGTTGGAATAGTCTTTCTGAAATCTGAAATTATTTCTTCTGTTTTCTTTTATATTGGAGCCTCAATATACTCTATCAAGTACTCTAAGTGAAATATGTACATGTCTGTTTCACTATTCCCCCTGAATAGCCTACATACAATAGCCATAATGACTCTGAAACAACAGAAAACTGAAGAAAGATTACTGGAAGAAGTATGTATATTAACAACAGAGTCGACATTCAGTGTCAAGGATTGGTAACATTCTGGAAAACTTTCTCTGATCTGTCCAGCCTTATGCTTAAGAAACCTTGAAACCTTGGCACCTCAATTCCCAGAATTCCCCAGCCAATCATGCTGGCTGGGAAATTCTGGGAGCTGAAGTCCAGAAGTCCAGAAACCCCTGCTTTAGGGTTTTGGTTTTTTTTGGCAATGCGGAAAACTCCCCCCAGATTTTGTCAAGAGAAAGTGAATGCAATTGAAGCCTGTAAGTGAATATTAGGAAACATATATAAAGTAATGGAACAGTAGTCAACACCAGAGTTTGCTTCAATATCCAGTTGAAGTCAATATGATGATTTGGAAACTGGCAGTGAATGTATGTTGCATCATAGGAATGTGATTTACTGATGCTTCTGAAATGTAAATATCACTTTATAGCACAATTCTACCCAGTGCTATGCAGAAGTCCACTCTATAATTATTTTCCAATACATAGTACTAGGATTGCCATGTTAGCCTTCTGTAATCAAATTAACAATTCTCCAGACTAGGCCTTTTGTGAAGATACCACTATTAAGCAAATTTGAGCACTGGGCATGTTTTTTTTTTAATAAAATAATTTTTATGTGAAGCATTCTGCTTTTCATTCACAACGGTATCAAACGGACATGACTGCCAACGCTACGAAGGCTAAGAGAATAGGTTTGTTAGTCTTTGGCCTCTGGGCTGCATTCTATAGTATGATATAAATCAAGGCTAATTTTATTCCAGATTCAGGTCTCCAAAATAAATTACTGGCTTGTGAATTAAGAAGCTGCAGTAATGTTATTGCTGGTGCCAAATTAAATACCAGACCTGTTTGTTTGAACTTAGTCTGCCCAAATGATGCATAAAGCAGGGCAAGAGGTTACATATTTGGGGGAGAAAATCATAGCATAGATGATTACTTTGCTCCTATCTACAGCACAGCACTCTGTTTCTCCCTCCTCCTGTTCCTCTCCGCTGAGGAATACATTTCACTTAGACAAGCTTCCTTCACCTGTCTCGATGTGGTTGCTCTAGAAATAGAATCCTTCTAAGTGATTGGGCCAATCTGGAGTTTAAATAAATGCATTTGCTCTTATCATGTCCAAATTGTTTCTCCAACATGCCTCGAAGAAAGGCGGCTTCCATCTATTTCCGGCCACATGCATATATATCTATATATCTATATTTATATAACAAAAACCCATGCATGACGGGAGCCTGAGAAGTATAAACATGCTCGTCTTACTAATACTTAGGTAAAAAACATAATAGGTCACTAGGCATACAGATCATGTTTATCTTTTTCTATCAGAGCTTATTTTACGACATTTGGATTCCACCCATATGTAAACTATAAAATTTAAGCACACGGGAAGTGATAATCCACTGCAAAGTCCTATTTTTGGTATGGATCATCCCAATTTAAAGTGAAAAAAAAAGTGCTCTACCTGAAAATATTGTTTCAAAATTACTGTAATTTTAGCAGTGGGTATTACATTTTCTCTGCTTTTATCCACTTCCTTGATGGTCTAAAAATACCTGCTTTGGTGCTTCAATTTACTTAACCCAGGATAATTCAGTAGCACGTTCTCCTATACAAAGGACACTAAAACAAGAAACTCTTTGCTCTTGGACCTATCCTATTAATTTAAAAGATGCTTGCATAGAAGGACTTCCTGTCAGATTGGATCCCACTATGCTTCCGTCAAACCACTGCGAACATCTAGGAAAGATTGTTACACAAATCAAAACTATGTGCTTGCATGTCCATGTGTGTCTCAGTGAAAAGGTTGTTGTTGGTAGCAGTGATAGCTCCTATTTAAATTCAAGTAAATTCTTGGGTAATTATAGTCAAATGGACAAACCTACAGTGATGTCTAATATTGGATATAGTTCTATGCTTCTGAAAGCTGTATTATCCTTAAAAAAAAAAACCAAAAACAAAGGCAGGCTATTGGACCTCCCCATTTTCTCAAGGTTTCCAAAATAAATCTTGTTTTGTCAGAGAGCAACTCATAAAACGCAAGGAAATAGAAGCCTCTTCAAAGAAGAAATGAGCATGTTTTGTTTCTAGGTTGGTATGCCAGTATGGATTTTTCTTTTTTTCTTTTATCAGAGCTACAAGCAAGACAGGGAATGGTTGCAGTTCTTACAGACCGTATAGCCAGTCGCCATGAACCCGATGGGAAACAGACTGTTAGAGACTTCTGCAAAATACTGTGGAACAGCAGTCACTAGTAACTTTTACAAAACTTGCTCTCAACGTAACATAAAGGCACCATTGATATCGTTCTCATTTTTGAAATACTGTAAAAAAATTGCTACATATGGCACATAACACGTTTGTATATACATTATATATTTAATTTATAAAAGTTTTTTCCCCCTCCTGTGTTTTTCTTTTTAAATCCTAATAGCGTAATTGCTAAAATAAAATAAATTGTTTTAATTTAATCATGGAGTATTTCATTATATAAAATAAAGTTTTACATGTGAATCTATGTGTTTTTTTTTAAAGTGTTTCTCTCTTTCTCTCTCTCTCCTCCTTTATACAGCGATGGGATCCTGATTAGCTATTACACCAGACAATCTTGCTTGATATTCTTCCTGCGTTGAGAAGCGGCTGGCTTGGTTAGTCCTAGTGTCAGTGAGCCTATATGCAGCAGCTGATTCTAGTTCAGCGGTTGTAGCATTTTGTATGCTCAGAAAAGGTGTGTCTTCACCTATCCTGTCGTCTTCTGTCTCACTCTCTGAGCTACTGTTCTCACAACTTGTGCCAGTGTTCATTTCCAATCGAGTGGAAATGTGGCCATTGGGCTTTGTTCTTTTGGCCCTCCGACTGTTGACGAGTTTCTTTGGAGGCTCTTGTGTAGGTTCATATTCCTGCGTGGTTTCGTACTCCTCATCCTCTACCATCCTCAGGGGACTTGGTGGTAGGCTGTTGCTTTCATGGAGAGGATTGTGGTGGTAAGAAGAATTGAACTGTTGTAAGTGAAGCTCGTATTTTTCCCGCAGCCTGGGTGGGGTCACCAGCAGGAGAGGCCTCTCTTCTTCTATAAATGGACTGACAGCTACAGACGGGACAGACATTGTTAAACTGGAGACTTGTGGAGACATTTGTGAAGCTGGTGATTTTGGAGAACTTGGAGTGTGGAAATCTACAGGAGACATGCGAGCTGGCGTGGTCATGGCAGATACGTACCTAAAGAAGTACACATAAAAAAAAATTAAGCTGAAGAATAAAAATGTGACAGAACTATGATGGTGGTAAGAAGTATTTATTCTTCCATGACAGTAATTGAGAATTTGAATTCAGATGTAACAGCCACACATTTTGTAAGTAGAAATGTGATTTCTATAAATAGCTTCTAGCTACTGAAATTTAACTTTAAATTTCTAGGCTAAAATAACATTAAATGATCATTTATTCACTTCTCTTGATTTTCAACATGCAAACCCAACACCTGAAAAAATTGAATATTGGCAATACAACTCACTTTAATCTATGATTTATTCCAGCCTTGGACTCTCTTTGACATTTCTGAAGCTATAATGGAGCTTCTGCTACTAACCATGCAGAGAGTTTTTTTAAAAAAGAGTGTGACTCCCTTCTTTATTGTCTTTTAAAAAAGATTTCCATCTTATTGCAAGCAACTGCACTGAATACAATACATCTATCCAAATTTTAGGATTAAGAAAGAAGACTTTGGATGTTCTTCAGCATTTCTTGTTTTGGTCCTCTACAATGTCAACATGCAAAATTCCCAATTTTCATTCACTTTTCCAGGTTTTGTAGCTATTAAAAAATCCAGGATGAAATATAGATAATAAAAGCTATTTTAGAGAGTTAAATATTTAAACACTAATGCTCACAGAATTAAAATTGTAAGAAATGTAAGTATTGTAGAGCAATGGGACTCCACCTTTCAAACTATTTCTATAATAAAACAGTCAAACAGTACTAGTTGTATTGAAGAAAGTATGGCTTATTTATTTATTTATTCATTTTATATTTTTGTACTCTATTTTCTGTGCTATTTTATCTCAACAATTAGGAATTAATGAAAGGACAGGCAAGCTTTGCTTTCCAGAAAGGAAACAAGATAACGCTGTTAGGTGAAGGAATGAGCCAATTCAGTCAAACATTCTCCACAATCCAGATAATTTTATCAGAAATTAATAGCATGTAAAACCAATATACAGTAAATACGTGAAGACTGTATTGATCCATGGATTATGGTATTGTCCCAATTAGTAGAGTTTTGTTCACCTTCTCGTCTTTATTTTGAAAGGAAAAAATGCTTTTAACTTGCCCATCTGTTCAGTACAGGGTATGAATAGGCAATTAAAAAAATTATTAAATGGGAAAGAGTGCAACTTTATTTAGCACTGCCTTTTAAACATTCATTTTCAACTCTTGTCTAGTTATACTGCTATTCTGGTTGCTTTTCCATTCAAGCTGTATATTTTCTCCACACTTCTAATATAAATCACACTCATTGATCACCATATGCTGCAGTCGTGAAGATGATTTTGGCCATTTTTTCATGCAAAACTAATGATACGTTCTAGGGTTAACCAGTGGTGACATAAGGCATAGCTTTAAAAACAATGAAGGAAAAAAGCTATCAAAAAAGCACCAAAACACTATGAAAATGGCAAATTATTATATAAATATGGATATACAAAACCTCTGTTTAAATTTTTTTATATATATACATATATATATGTACCCCAAAATAAAACCCACCAACCCGGATAAGATTTCAAACTGCAGTTCTCTGTCTGTGAGGATCTGGATATGCCCTACAGTATTTCAGATTGATATCCTTCTTAAGATCAGCTCCTGTGGATACCTTTCACTGTGCGGTGAATCGCGGTAAGAGTCCGGTGTGTCTCGTGCGTGCCGGAGAAAACTGTTGTATTCTCTTGGTCCAGCAATGCCATTGAGGCGACCGCGAGGTCCTGAGGGGCTTGCATGGCGGCTGTTCTCAACTGAGGAGCACACAAGGGCTGAATGACTTTCAGAGATTATGCTTTCGGTCCGACCATTACTCCAACTGACCACGAGCCGTTATGAAAAACAGAAGAGAACATTTTAAAATTCAAGAAGAGGAAAGTGAAAAGAAAGTGTCTGACAGGGTCCTCTGTGTATCTGTTGGGCAGCAGTGTTTTACATTCATTATCTTGCTGAAGAATTGAGCTGATCATTCTTCCCTAACTGTTGGGAATATAAAAAGATAAACACTCAATCTTAAACTAACATCATTTTTAAGATTTTACTGTTATGACCAGGGGTGGTATTCACTTACCTTCCCTACTGATTTGCAAATGTGTGTGTGTGTGTGTGCGCGCACACACTTTTGGCAAAAAAGGACCTAAATGGGATGCCACAGAGCCGGGACTGGTGGGTGGGGCCACCCACGATTTCCATTACTGGTTCGGGCGAACTTGTCTGAACTGGTAGAATACTACCTCTGATTATGACATAATGAACAATGCCAGAGAGTAGGACTATTCTACGTCAAGCAAAGCCAAATTATGTACACGAAAGAATAATGATGAGTAAATGCAGTAACTCATCATGGTCCAAATGCAGTACTAATTCTATAAGTGAAAATTAATGGTGTGATATAAAGTCCACAGAAACAAGGCAGTAATTGTGAAAAAGCGGGCTAACATGTTGATACTAAGACTTGCTTCTTTTCAAAGGAAAAATCAAAACAGGGAAAAGAATCAAAGAAGCAAAGGAAGCTTAATAAAATAAAACAATTTAGGACATTTCAGCTACAAAAAAAGTCCATCACCTTTAAATCCAAATACTTCTGTTTACTGTTTTTAAAACTTACTTTGGGGTTTGGGGTTTGAGTTTAGTTAAGAAATACATTGGCTTTATCTGAGCCTCCTACCTGTGGCTGGGAGTTTGGGTGACAGTTGTAGAATGATGTGTAGTTGAGGTATAGTGACTTGTAGAAAAAGATGCCTCAGTTTCTCTCTCAACAGCATGTTCACTGGAAATTATGTTTTTAGATACATATTGCTAAACAAAACAGACACACAGCATTTATATATAACACAATTTAAAACTACTGATCAATTCACTCCTGCCTTATACCAGGGATGTCAAACCATGGTAAGTTTAAGACTTGTGGACTTCAACTCCCAGAGTTCCCCAGCCAGCAAGGTTAGGTGAGGACTTCTTGCTCTGATAGACCAGTGTCAGCAAAAACCACCACCACCACCACAACAACAACAACACACAAGTCTTAAAGTTGCCACGGTTGGACATCCCTGCTTTATATATACATATGAAAGGATTTCAAAAATTGAAGTGGTAGTACTTCTCAAATTAGCAGTCAATATTTTTATTCTCCCCAGAAGACATTTTCCTAGAATTAATTCAAATGAAAGTAGAGTGATTCTGTGGAAACAGTAGTTTATTATCTGCAGAATTCTTTCACCAAAACAAATCTATTCTAATGGAATTCACGGGTAGGAATAGGACTATTACCGAGCAGTTTGAGCGGTAGATTTATTTTTCTCCTTGTTTTTGCTCACTGTATTTTTTGCAATCTTAATTGTTCATGATGTGTTTGAATGTTAATGACAGGGAATTAACCTTGTTTTCTATGAAATGGATTAGGAATAGAATATTTTTCCTGTAATTTTATGAATTAACCTTTCAAAATATTTAATTTGGCTGTCATCTGATGTCTCTGAAATAATGAAGAGACTTACAAGTTTGCTTAGTGACTGTTACAATGGCACTGGAAAAAGTGATTTATGATTGGTTTTCCACTTCTGATCGTTGCAACGTCTTCATGGTCATGTGATCAAAATTCAAACACTTGGCAACTGATTCATACTTATGATGATTAGTGACCCAGGGTCACATTATCACCTTTTACTACCTTCTAATAATCAAAGCCAATGGGGAAGCCAGATGGTCTCAATTTGAGGACTACCTGTGTAATAAAAACTACTGGCAGTAGTGAAGGTTTGATTTTGAAGTGACTAAATAATTGGTCTAGCTTGTCTACAAACTGGTTCCTTCTGAGAATGATACACTATGGAAAATGTCTGCACTTTTTAAATATACAAAAATATATACTGGAATACATAAAAATCTTGCATCCAATGAAACTGACAGCAAGACCCCTGTTGGATATTTAGGATCTTCCATGTTCAATAAAAGTGATTCAGCTATAAAGTGTATATTGCTACCTGGGTACTGTATCTGCCTATGGGAACTTCCCCAACCAATTCTTGTATATTGATCAGACCTTATTCTGTTTCAGTTCAGAGTGGAAGCTACTTGGTGTGGGGCAGTAGTGGGATTCAAATATTTTTACTACCCCTTCTGTGGGTGTGGATTGGTGGGTGCGGCATGGCTTGGTGGGCATGGCAGGGGTAGGATACTATAAAATCTCCATTCCCTTTCCACTCCAGGGGAAGAGTTCCGCAAAATCTCTGTTTCCTCCCGATCAGCAGGGACCCAGGAGGCAGAGAATAGAAGGGGGCAGGACCAGTCAGAGGTGGTATTTACCGGTTGTCCGAGCTACTCAAAATTTCCGATACTGGTTCTCCAGAACAGGTCAAAACCTGCTGAATACCACATGTGGTGTGGTGCTGGGTGGTGTGGTATGTGTGTGTGTGTGTGTGTGTGTGTTGGAGCGGGAGGGAGAAAAATAGAGAGACAGAAAAAGAGAAACAGAGAAAAAGAGATAGAATATACATACTGCAGGCATATTTCTTCTGATACGGAAGCTTCTGAGAATATGTCCTTATTGCTATTGCTTTTGTCCTAGTCAATAGACATTAATCCCATTCAATCTGGGAAAGAACAACTTACTCTAAAGGCATAGACATTTCTTCTTACTTTGCTGTGGAAGATAATAGAACTACCTAAACTATCATACATATGTTGTGAGTCCCCCTCAAATATTTCTTCATAGTGATGGATTTTGCTTTTTCTTGAAATAAATTTAGGCTGTGGGTCCTGAATGCATTTTGAAAGCAGAACAAAATCATGAACTCTGTTGAAATGAATGCAAGAGAACCAACACCAGAAACTGAGTTAAAACAAGCGAAGATTTGAATTATCTGCTTTTCATATTGAATTTTCTCAATCAGGAGAAAAGGGTTCACACATTCACTACACCACCGAGATTCCTTTGACAGTTTTATGGGTTCAGTTTTGTGAGAAAAGGCTCAGATGTGGAATATACAAACATTATTTTAGATCCAAAACAGAATGGTACAATTTATAATCTGAAAGTTTAGAGAACTGTCTCATTAGATTTCTCAGTTGAGTGAAATTTGTGAACAGGGAAGCACCACAAAAATTCCTTTTTTGCTTAAAACCACTCTAATTTCAGATGATTTCTCCAGCACATTCATCCTAGCCCACATTGATATGATATGCTTTCTACAGCAATGCATCCTATCTTGCTGCAAGAAGGTTCTGAAGACAATTTCATCTGATTTTTACTTATGGGGTGGAACTAGCACTGCTACTATAGTTACAAAATGTTTGTGGTCACAAATGTTTTATGCAGAAAATTGCTCCTTTAATCTTTTGTATCTTACAAGTATAATGTGAAAATCAATTTATACCTCAACTCAGTGACACCAACAGGTTTGTTTGTATACATATATGTGCATACTGTATACATATATACAAACAAATATAGATACAGTATATCTGTGCATGTTCACATAGCACTTAGTAAATGAGCTTTTTTAGTACTTTATTCATAAAGTATTTTTATAGTCCTGGTATTAGCTTTTAATATATTTCTGTTTAGCAGTAGTTTTTTCAGTTGTATTTTATTATTTGCATTTATAGCATTAGAGAGCGAACCACTCTTCTATTTATTGATTTTAGAAATGCTTTTTACTTTTAATTTGAACCTTATAAGCATCTCATAAAATTATACAAAATGCTGTTTATAGATAATAACAATAAATAGTAAATTAAAATGGTTTCTTTTATAGATAATAATTTCTTATTATTACTCTTAGATTTTTATCCAGTGTTTTCTACACATAATTCAAGATGGTGAACATACTTAATATACTTGCCTCCTGTTTTCCCCACGACAAACAACCCCACCAGCATCTAAATATAATTTCACAACTGTTTTCAGTTAAATCAGCTATTGCATTGTTTTAACAAACTAAATGTAAGATATGACCCGGCCGAGCCTTAAAGGAGTGTCAAGCGCATCATCAGTCTCGAGTTCCTTTGTGCTCACAAGAGATCTTAGTACAGCCCACCTTTAATTCATTGACTCTTATCTACCACATATTTGCTTTGACTGTTAGTAGTTCAGATTCTTGCAGTAGTGTTACCAAGCAATAAACCTGTATTCCTGCTTCCTGGTTTCTTCTGCCTTACAACTAGTGGGAGAATAAGATAGTGGTACTATTTTTAAAATTGTTAAAAGGACTAAATGTCACTCAACAAAGCTTGTGTGAAACTTACATTTACCAGCTGGACATTCTCTGGCGGTGGATGAGGATGGTGAGGCCCGTTTGCCATGTTGACCCTGTGATTGCGTTCTGATCGAAGGCCTTGCCTGAGACGGTCATGTAACTTTTTCCGCTGCTTCCTGAATTTGAAATTTGGAGGAACTTTAGTATTCAAATAGTTGACTGAATAAAATAGTTCTATCAGCCTTATTGACCATTGCACGTTCCCATTATAGAACTGAATTTTTATCATTTGAAGGTTCAGAAATACCAGGAGCTGATGGACAACCAGTATTAAACTTTGCCAAAGGAACAAGAAGATTTATTCACAAATCACGTTTCTGATATGGTATCTGGAATCTTGAAACTAAACCAATCTCATCCAGTGGCCAATTACATCACGGTATCATATGAAGATGCTACAGAAAGCAGATTGTACTCCAGTGGTTTATAATACATGTAGCCAAAGGAAGGTTATTAGATCCAGAGGAGTAGAATTTTCTAGGAAAGTAGCTTTTTTGCCCTTTCATGTATTTTCTGGCAAAAACAACACACTGGAAACCTTATTCCCTGTGGCTAGGTCTTTGTAATATATCCGGATCAGGGACCCTTTGGAAGACCTTATTTTGAACTCTGCAGCTAAGTTGTTGCCTGCCAGCAACCAATAATGTACAGCTGAGGGCTGTGTGTTGGTTTTTCTATAGCTTATTTGCTAGGCAGTTTACTTTTGATGGTAAAGGTATAGGGGGAAAAAAAGTAAGTTCTTCTAAAATAAAAAAAAATATCAGAAACAAAATGGTTCTATCCCGCATGGATTCAAGAAATGATTTTGATTCTGAAAGAGGCAGCAATTACTGGCTGGAGTTTTTCAACTAATTCATTTATTAAAAATGCTGAATCACTCACTGACTTCTCCTGCCCCTTGGATGAGAGAATGTTACATTAGCTGCACATTCAACTAGGCTGAAGATATGTTCTTGATGTTACTCCAAACACACAACAGCATCCACTCCATATATTGATTTTTCTTTCAGTAGAGGGGGGAAGAGAAAACTCATTCTCTCTGACTGCCCAAGACTGAAAATAAGGCTTCCCTCACGCACCTAAATGAAGTTGCCTCGATTATCTCCATTTATGGAAAGGAAAATAACACCCCCCTTTTGCAGAAGACTAAAGTTAGCAGGTATCCCTCCCTTCAGGGACAAGATTTTGAAGAAAGAAGAAACAGTGTTACCTATTCCTAAAAGTCTTGTCCTGACATCATTAAGGAGAAAGGAAGGGTATACGAGGGGAAAAATATAATTACTGGGCCAAATTCCTGCTTTAAACTCTCAAACTGAGATATTGAACTAGCAAGATTTTGATTTTCTCAAATCCGGGGTCAGCAGCATTTTTAGACTTTGTATTATTTAATAATTATTATTTTGGCTAAGATAACATCAGAAAGATGGTTCTTGGGGGGGGGGAGTGGGATGCTTAAAAATAAATAGGAGCTTCAAACCTTAAACAGGCAGTCCTTAAACAGTTACAAAGTTAGAACAGGACAGAAAAAAGGACTTATGACCATTTTTCATACTTATGACCATTGCAGCATCCACGTGGTCAAATGATCAAAATTTAGACGTTTGGCAACCTATTCATAGTTATGACAGTTGTAGTGTGTCAGGGTCATGTGGTCCCATTTTGCAACCTTCCAACAAGCAAAGTCAATGGAGAATCCATATTCACTGTGTCACTAACCTGACAACTGCAGTGGTTCACTTAACAACTGTGGCAAGAAAGGTCATAAATGGTGGCAAAACTAACCTAACAAATATCTCACTTAGCAATGGAAATTTGGGGCTCAGTTGTGGTCATAGGTCTAGGACTATCTGTAGGACTCTGTAACACAACCAAGACTTAAATGCATGGATTCAATCCCATGGATTGAATATGGAGATTTCTTTAAAATTGGATGTGATGGTTCCTCATCAGAGCTAAAGAAGCAAAAGGTTGGGGACTAAAGGGTCAAAGTTCAGGTTAGCTCATTCTTACAACTTCCTATTATGTCTAAGCTATGCATGTGCACTTTCTATAAGTGAGAAGATAACACGGTTGAAAAATGTGTGTTATTGTTTACATAACAGTTGCTATTGTTATGGCGACTTCTAAAATGATTTAAAAGTATTGCTTTGGCTCTTGCACGTCCATAACACCTCTCTGCATTTCATTAAAGCACTCAAGGGACTCTTGAGAGGAAAATTCCGATGAAAGATAAACAGGCTCAATATTTCCACACCTATAATTCATTCAATTAATTGTGCTTAAGATATCACCTTGATTAATACTTTCACTGAGTCCACCATTGCTGAAAGTAATATCAACAGGGAAAAGAAAACATACTTAGAAAACTTTCGAAGTCTTATCAAGTTTAATAAAAGTTTTGACTTCTCTCCACTCAGAAGATGGATAGATGAAACAATGGGAAGGACACCTTGAAGGTTGGTTATGTCTTTTATTTTTTTAAATGTCATAAAAGTAAATATTTTTGCCTGTAAAAATGTATCACCAATATACTAGGCAAAACACAGCTCTGAGCTGGGCAACATTTTTGTCTGAACAGCTCACTCTGAAGAAAGATGCCACGCTTTAATTTGGAAAGATAAACATAATCATAATGATTGTGAACGAAAGCTTTAAAACATTTCCTGAAAGTTGTAAAAAGTCAATATCAGGCTATATTTACATAATAAACCATAATATCAACAACATCAATTGTTGCCAATTGATTGGAAGGGGGTAGAAGTTTGGACGTTCCAAGTTTCATTTATCAGACACCTTTTGACATTCATTATTAGTGTGATTCACCACATCTCACACACTGCTAAAGATAAAGACAGTTCTTGGATTTAAGCCCAGCTCAGTCATTGTGTGTAATATCATGTGGTACAACACGTTTCAAGGTGGAAGCCTTTTAAAGCAAATGGGATGTTTTTGCAATGATCTCAATGGATCATGAATTAGATTAGATTATAAGATATCACTTCCTATGCAAAGCTGTGACAAATTACATACTACATTCCAACTATGCTTACAAACACAGATAAAGTTTTAAGTTTATTAAGCCACCTAATTGTGTATCAAGATGCAAATATGTATTTTTTAGTTTTGTTTTGTTTTGTGAGGTCCTGATTACAAAACTGTAGAAAAAAGGATGTTTACTTGGTTTTGCAGTATGCCACAACACACATGATGCCAACAACAAGAAGAGCAATGCAGATGCCAGTTATGGTCAACACCCTTTTCTGGTAGAGTTCCTCAGCTTCTAGAAAATGAGAAAATATAGATGGTTATAACATGTACACTGGATGAAAAAACAAGAGACCACTAAATACAGCTTATAGTCTATCAATTTATAGCTACAGTGAAAGGATGACAAACTTTATGCTCAGAAATGATAAACTATATTCAGTATCACAGATGTGAGAAAACTTCAAGTTTCAATATCCGTGATACTGAATATAGTTTGTCATTTCTGATTGTAAAGTTTGTCATACTTTCACTGTAGCTATAAGTTGATAGACTCTCAAGTTTAAGTTTAAATTAAATTAAAATCAAATCACAATTCAATGTTTTGTTTAACATAATTTAAAATTTATGAAGCTGTCTAATGAAATAAAAACAAGGCACTGATAGAACAAATCATTTTGTTTAAAAATCGGGTTTTCTTGCAAAGATAGCTGGAATAAAGATTGGACCTCCGTCCGCCCAATTTTCTCTTTATAGTCTCTTGTGGTAATTTAAAATATCCAGGTTTTTTTTCAATATTATTTTGGTCTACACAGCGGGTGTCAAACTTGCGGAGTCACATTGCATATCACAATGTTTTTTCTTCACGGAGCTTGGATGGGCATGGCCTCCGTGTGACTCATCCGGCCTGCAGGCCACCAGTTTGACACCCCTGGTCTACACAAATCTTTACATGAGGAATGCTACATTCCACTTTGAATTTTGCTACGTCGCATGGGAAAATAGCATAATTCATCAGGAACTGACAGTAACATTTAACTTTATCCACCTCCAATAAGCAATATGCATTGTACCATAGACATTATATGGTTGATTGAATAGTAAAGAAAATATGAAGATATTTGGGTGAAAAAAAATCTGTTTTATTGTAGTGACCTTAGTCTAAGTTGCTATAATCAATATGAACAAATTCTTAGGAAAAGATAATCAAATTCTGCTTGGTAAAACATAGTTTATATGCTAAAGAAAGGAAATGATATATTTAGGGCACTGATACCAATGGTGCACAGGAATAAACACCAGAATGAGCCAGAACTTTGTATTTTTTCTTTTTTTTCCTTTATCTTATTTGGTTGCTAAAATTTATTTAGCTTTTAATTTAAAATTGTGCAATCATATAGTTGCCAATCTCAAAGTAACCATCATGTGAATGCAACAAGAATTTGCATTCATAATGGGAATGTTTTTAGGAATATGACTATTCAGAGTTAAAGAAGGGGACTGGAAAAATCAGTACTCTTGGAAATGAGTTTGTCATCAATGGAACAGGATTTGAAAATCTGTTACTTTTCTGCTTTACGATAGTTCGTATTTAGCAATTTCCTGGTCTGGTGATCTTTGTATGTTTGCAGATAAGACATCTGTTAGGGCTTGCTTTGCCTTAGCCTGTTGTTTCAGATTGATTTTTGGCAATAAGCACTGTCAGGTCCCAAATTCCTGACTTCTGTGATCACTGTTGCTTTAAGGATCCAAATATTTTCTTAGACACTGACCCAATATATAGTTTGACTATGTCATATTGGCCAAGATCCAATAACTGGCTGTGTCTGCTGATATGCCGGGCTGTTTATTGGTATGTAACCATTTTGGAGGGGGAAAAAACATGCCGTCTGGATTTTTTTTAAAAAAAAAGTGAGATAGGATTTGATCAAAAGCTTATTGCATAATTTTCAAATGCTATTTTCAGCACACTACTTTCTTTTTTATTTCAACATCTAATACTAGTTTTAATGACAATAGTGCTGGGATTGAGAATATCTGAAAAAATAATCTATGTTATGGTTTTTAACGTTTTGTTCTTACACTGCTCTTAGGTATAAGGAATAGGCTACCCAGATACTAAATTTTCAGGCTCACTCACCATGAATTATAAATTTGTGTATAAATATATAGGTTGGAGAAAGCAAAGGTTATTAACTTTTTTAGATTCTTGCCATTAGCCATTAGTTATCCTTTCAAATCCCTTACATTCACTGAAATTTACACGAAGGAAACAGATTCTTAGGGACATAGTATTTTTCCTCAAATATTTCTCTGTGAGAATCACCTCTCCCAACCTGGGCATTCCATGAAATGTAGTTTTTTTTTTTTTAAAGAGAGCATAACCTCATATATATGACTTTATATGGCATCCATATTTAACTCTCAGTCTGCTTTTAGTACTACAGTTTGAAATTCCAAATAAACCAAAACTAAAATTTAAAAACGATCTTTCAAACCTTCATACCTATGATACAATGCATATTATTGTTTGCTATAAGCCAATCCCAATACAAACATTTATTAACAAGTTTCTAAACATACAGTATTTATACAGAAATGAACAATACTGATTATGAACAAAAGGAGGGGAGGATCAGTTTTGTGAGAAAAAAAAACTAGAATGCTCAAATGATTATACAAACAAAAATCCAAGAACAAGAAGAAGTACTGAAACAAACACAAATATGGGAAGAGGGAGAGGAGAGAAAGAAGAAGGAAAAGAACAGATGAAGGAAGAAGAGGAAGCTGAAGGGAAATATAACGTTAGAAGTTGAAAAGTCAACTATAGGCCTGGCACAGCATGCTTGATAACTGGAAGGAAGAATAAGAAAAATGCTTGAAAATAAGACTGAAGCGGAATTTAAAGGGATTTTACATACAGCATAACAACCAACCTATGCTCTCCCGATTGATTAGCCAAATAGTGGAGTCTTATTGCTATATAATCAGAGATAGCAAAAGCCATGCTAAACACAATCTAGTACATAGGGAATAATGCAGTTCTAAAAGAGTTATCAGAATTCTCTTTGTAGCATCATTCATTAATGGGTTAATTGTATGACTGCTTCCCCCCTGCCCACTGCCTAGGATGGGTACACAAGCTGTGTGAGCTTTATATTAACTATAATTAATGATATAGTTTTTTTCAGTGCTATATCACAATGGATATGGTGCACTGTGCCTTTCTAGTGACATTTTTATGGATGTTTAGTGCAATGCAAAAGCAGGGTTAGCTTTATTCAGTATTCTCTCATTTTTTTCAGTCTGCTCATTGCTAATAGTCCTGCTCATCCTCTCTTGAGTTATGTGTTCTTGTTTGAAACTTTAATAATATGCGTTTTCTGCAAAATCACTTGTCAAGCGCATCCTCTTTTGCAGACTTTATGTCTCCTTCCCAATGGCTATATTTAGGCAGATACTACGGGGATACTAGGAATGTATTCACATTACTAAACCAACATCCTCTTTTCCCAATCTACTTGGCTTCTGTTGTAGGCCACATGCAGCATGATGTGGGTATGGATATATATAGTATTTTAATATAGCTCTGCACCAGTGGTGGGATTCAACCAGTTTGTTCTAGTTCAGGTGAACCAATTGTTAAATTATTCCCACCTCCCACTGGGCTCTGCCTGCCCTGCAAGGGAGAAATGGGCAATGGAGCAGCCAGCACAAGAGAGGGAGAAGGCTGCTTTCCCCCTTTCTTTTCCCTGCTCCTACTCCTTCCCTTGTGGTGGCCGCTCCATTTCCAATTCTCCATTGCAGTACAGCACCCAGGATCCACTTTGATAGCCGAGAGTGGAGGTAATTTAACAAGTAGTTCACCTAAGGTCAGGTTGGCCATCGCGGGAGGCTTGCTGCACATGTGCAGTGGAGCTGGAGGATGGGGATGAGCCACGCCTCCGACAGCCAACCTGACCCTGGGCGAACCAATTGTCAAATTATTTGAATCACTGCTTTGCACCATGAGATTTATAGCCAATCATATGATTTGGGGAAAAATCCTGCCACATAGTGAGATTCTAGAATTGGCAATGTAGTATAATTATGAAAAAATATGTCAGTATAGTTGTGTTAGCTACATTTCCCCTTCTTTCTTTTATGAATGCGGCCATACAAGGATTTAATATAATGTTGCCAGGCATGTAATGTGACATTAATATGTATATTATCCTGGACTGGCTGGGCATCATAGTGAAGAAGTCCTAAACAGCAGTGAAACAAAAGCATCCAGAGCTGAACAAAATATAAAAGAAAGAACACTACTAATTTGCCAGTGGATGTCCACTCACTCATACTTGCACATCTGAAGCATCACAATGGGCATGTAAGTTGTGTTTAGAAATACAAGAAGCCAGTACTCACCACAACTTTAAAATCATTTCTAGTCAAAACAGTTTAGATGTTAAAATTTAAGTCCTGAGTAAGGTCTAATTTAGAGTTTGAAGCAACATTCAATTAAAAAAAAAAGGAGATAAAGGCAACAAGTCAAAGGTGGTGATGTGGTAAGAACAGACCTTTCCATACAATCTCTTTAACCTCAAAATAAATTTCTGGTCTGAATAACAAAAAAGGACTGTAGCTCTGAAATAATTAATTACAGGTTCAGTCCCCATTTCTCTTCACTTAGAGTTGGAAAAACAAGTCCTAATCCTGAAGGCCCAAAGCTTTGTCTTCGCATTTTATAGTGCCTCTCTTTCTCTGTATTCCACCTTCTTTTCTCTTCTCCCCATTGTATAGGTAGTCTTTAAGACCACAATTGACCCAACGTTTGCATTGCCAAGCAAGACATTTTTAAAGTAAATTTTGCCCCATTTTATGAACTTTCTTGCCACAGTTATTAAGTGAATCACTGCAGTTACTATCATGATTGTTAAGTGAATCTGATTTCCCCATTAACTTAGCTCCTCAGAAGGTCACAAAAGGTGGTCATATGACCCTGGGAATGCGTGTTAAAAATCATTGATGTGATAAGTATGAAAAATGGCCAAAGTCACTTTTTCAGTGCTATTGTAACTTTGAACGGTTACTAACCAAATGGTTGTAAGTCAATAACTATCTATATAACCTTTTTCCTTTTCATGGTGCAAATCCAATAAGTATTTTCAGTCAGTTGTTTTAGGGAAATATGCAAATAATGGTTATATAGAATGACTTCAAGTTATTCCTAATAATTTCCAAAAAGGAGACTTCTCCTTGTTATTTGCTGAATGTTTTATATCAGTTAATTTCATACGTGAAAATTGAATAGGTACTTTCAGAGATATCAGCAGTAATATATTGTTGCAAATTTTAAAAAGTATGCCAAGTTATCCTGTCTTTTGTGGGCATCTCAAGCACATTCCATAGTGGTGTCTGTGTGTGCATCTCTTTCTGTTTTTGTCTCTCTCACCGATAAACAGACACAAACACACACAGGCGTATGGTTATGAGAGCTGAGTTAAGTGTAAATAGGGAGCTGGCAAAGGCTGTTATAGCTGTATGATCCCTTTTGAAGCACAAGGAAGTTGGTTAGGAATTGAAGGTGAGGAAATGAAAAAAAAGTTTTCAATCTTTCAGCAAGCTAAAAGGAATGATTGGTCCATACCCATAAATTCAATCCCAAGGTGTTCTGCCAATGCAGAAAGTTGACATAAAAAAGAAAGAAAAGGGAAAATAGTTTCAGAAAAGAGCAATACACCTTACTGAAAAAAACAAATTGCACATGGATATTATACCTATTAGCTGTTTGCACACTGAGACAGGACAAATGCCGTAAGATTAATGGTGTAGAGCTCATGTAAGCTTTCACAGGCTCCTTTAAAAAAATTATTTAAAAATATTGACTCTAAACCAAGCCATACAATGGTACCTGTATATAATTTAATTAACATGATGACTTCACCAATGTATTTAACCCTTAAAAATATTACTGAAGTATCTGAGTTTACTATATCATCTATGCCACATTTCAGGTCTAAAGTATCCCCATATAAAACATGTTCCTTAGTATATCTATGATCTATAGTGGGGAACTAATCTTGGAATTCCCTATACATAAAACTACACTGTTCCTTGTTTTTTCAATCTTAGGAACTAAGATGTGTGGACTTTAACTCCCCAAATTGCCTAGTCATCATTTTGGAAATTGAAGTCTATACATCTTAAAAGTTGGTGAGATTGAGAAACACAGCTTTTAGTCTGCTGCAGGCAGAATTAAGTTCAGTCTACTCCAAGCTTACGTTAGTAGGGAGACACTATAAATCTACACCATTCTGTACCTGAAGTGGTAGTAGCCTCTTCTGCAATTTTAAAACTGATTTGGAACACTTCTTAAATCATAAAAAGCAATGAGAAGAATTACTGAAACTGTTGTGTTATGAAGCCTCAGAAAAAAAAGTAAGACTCAATCTGATCAGAGCCAAATTTACAACAAGTAACTTTGTAAAACCATGAAACAATGTATAAACATTATGTGTTTCAGAGTACTATATGATAAAGATATTGATTCTTATGAGTGATTTCTCCCCCTTCTTTTTCTAATAGAAGTGGGAGCAGAAAACAATGGCGTTACAGCAGATAATGACTAAGAAGAGACTGTGTGTAGTTGCAAATGCCTACCTCCCATTTGGGGTGCCTGTTGTGTTGTGGCTATTGTAATTGCTGGAAATAATTCAGACAGCATAATGTGTTACAAGGAAACTATACTGATACTTCAGCTAAAGTAAAGCTAAAGTAAAGTAAAGTAAAGTAAAGTAAAGTGCATCTTTAGTTCATTCAAATTGTTTGATACTATTATAGACAGACTAATATGGATTGAAAATCTACTTCATTGCAATATTTGGAATGTGAATAATGCATGGGTTACCGTTTTTTGTTTTTTTTTTTTAAAAATGATAATATTAGATTGCTGGCTTTATGAAACATTTCATTGATTACTCACAGCTTTGTTATGTAATCATTTAATTCTTGTATCAAGCTATAACTGCTATATTTATCACTCAGGAGCAATTGCTGATTCCTTTCTATTGGTGTGTATATACTATATTCATTTTCACTTCTTATAGGTTAAAATATTCCCAACAGTGTACACTTTTCCTTTACAATCAGTCATATTTTAAGGGTTAAATAAAATACATAGGTTTTTCCATATACTTAAGAGCCAGTGTTACCTGCTACATGAACACTACAAACAATACATATTAGTTACAGTTGCAGAGAAGTTTCGGTAGATTTGGTGACATGCTCATGCATAATTATTATTGCATATTGTAGTTCATCATATGGTAAGATAGACAACCCAGATGAATTTCACATAAATTCACTAATTTCGAAGATCTTATATATTAAATAATTGAATGGCAAGTTGGATATAATATATATATTATAATATATAATATATAATATATATAATTTTCATTCATTCATTTGTTCATTCATTCATTCTGGTAGCATAAATCATGCATAAGGAACATGCACTGCTTATTCTAACTCCAGAATAAATGCAAATTAAGAATAAATGCCAATTAATGTTTGAAATTCATATGTTCTCTTGATTTTGAAAGTCTCAGTCCTGCTTGCTAATAAGTTCAGTGCTAAATATATTACTCCATACACTCACAGTATTATATAGCTACTATAATTTTATTTGCTATGCCTGCCTTGAATGTTACAATTTATAATAGCTTATTTAAATAATTATTACACAGGGACACAGTCTATAAATAGCAAAGTGATAGCACTTTGCTTGTACTTTGCTGTTAAAACTCTGAGACTATGTTTTCACTGAGTCGGAGGTGGGGGGAGCAGCTTTGTAATTTTTCTTTTGGCTTGTTTGTTTAGGCAGTTCTGCCTATGTGGACATGTGCCATACCCCTAAGCTCCATTCTGTAGTGCTTTGAAGTTGAAGACAATTATCATAATCTATGCATGAAGCTAATGACTTACCAAAATTGTGATGAAACAATTTAAAATCTAAAATAATTTGGCTGTGGGGCAGAACATAGTGATTTATTCTATTATCTCGTTAGGAACCCCTCTTCCCCCTCCTGCCTCTAATTTCAAAGGTAGATATGCCTGAACCAAGTAGAAATAACTTTTAGTAATTTTGTTGTCTCTTTTGCAGCAAAGGAGATGTCTATGTTGCCTGAAACTGGTGGACCTCTGCTTGAATGCCAACAAGATAAGGTAAAATTTATTCTCAAAACTAATCTTTATTGACTGAATATTAAAAGGCATGGTGGCGGATATCACAGGTGATTATTAGGGAGCAGATGCCATGGGTGGCAATTAGGGAGGATGGATTGGTGCCATAAGAGGTTGGTCATAATAATGGCCTGCCGCAAATATTCATCACATGGTTATGAGGGTGCTGCAACGGCTGGATTTTTGAAATTGGGTTATGAATCCATTTTTTCAGCACCATGGTAACTTTGAACAGGTATCGAAGGAATGGGCATAACTTGAGGACCACTTATATCCCTTAGAACTGGAAACCACTGAGAATTAAATTTTGTGAAGTTGCAAGTCTTATTGATAGGATTAATATTGAAGAAGCAAAGTGGCAATTTTCTAAAAAGTTATTTGTATCAGGAGTAACTAAAACTTATAGCAGTACTATGTCCATTTTTTGGTATTCATTTTACCTTAGGGTACATTATAAAATAAATCCTCAATAGGTCTTTTAGAGTTACTCACATAATATTGATGTTACTATTCTGATGTTACTATTAGCAAAACAAAAAGAAACCCTTTTTTGTATATCTGTACTTCTATGTGACCATTTTAAACTGCTTCATTTTGGATTATTCTTGTGGGATGCAAATGTATATTTACTTAATACATTATTAAGGCTTTAAAAGAGACCTTTGGGGTGTGTGTGTGTGTGTGTGTGTGTGTGTGTGTGTGTGTGTGTGTGTGTGTGTGTGTG